TCCGTCACTGAAGCAAGCAAGCCTCATGTTAGTTTCAAGCTGCCTGGCTGCCGGCTGCCATGTTGGCTGGCAGTTAATTTGCATATCCCCCTGATTAGCCAGTGGAAAGGGTAGCGGTCGTATGCCAATTACCATGTTCCTCTTTTATTAGATAGGATACTTAAGTTTTCTTCTGTAGAAGGCCAACTTGGCTCTGTTTTATATGTTTCATGCCTCTAACTTAACTTTAATTTTTCTTTCAGTTTTTGAAATATAGTTGACTCTTGAACAACAAGGGGGTTAGGGTTGTGACCCCCTGCACAGTTGAAAATCTGTGTATGACTTTGACTCCTCTAAAACTTCAGGTGGGAGGAAAAATCTGGTGTCTTTTACTCCATCTTGGCTGGAACGTGAAGTTAATTAACATTTCTAATTGATGTAATTTAATGAAAATCTACTTGCACAATAAAACTGGTCAAAAGTTAAAGTCTTTACTTAAATAGTATCTTTCATTTTACCCCCAGAATGGCACCTCTCATTAATTTTAGAGCAAGTTTGTTTTTGAATAAAAATGATTGGCAATGAGCCTATTTACATTAATCCTGAAATTAATGATGTTTAAAGTGGTTGTAGATTTTACTCTTCCATTATTTTTGTCACATTTATTATTTGACACTCTTAAGCAAATTTATTTCAAACGTCTGGTTTAGAGGAAGGATTTTGGAAATCTAGTCAACATAATTTAAACTAACCATTGGGAGAGTCTGGGTGGGTGACAAAGAATAGTTTAATTCTAAACTTGTTATTTATAACAAGATGCATATGTTCTTTCTGGCAGTCCTACAGGGAAGCCAAGGCATCCACGTCAGCCGTGTGGTTTGCCAGCACACATCATTTACCGATCAGCTTACGTGAATTATCCTTGAGTGTGTGAGGCTCTGTGGCCTCTCTCATTGTCTTGCTAGTGGAAAACATGAATATTCTTGCTGAACACCGAAGCTGACTCTGGTGGGCTAACGCACATGAATTCTGTTGACTCACATTGCAGGTGGATAACCAGCTTCTTGGAGTGAGGTTAAGTTTGTACCTTCATTCTATAATATGAATAGAAAGAGATCTTAATTCAAGGCAGTAGCAGCAGACATTTCCACTTGAATCCTAGTGGGCAGACTGTTGTGCACTTTGTCGTGAAGAGTATTTTATTGTCGGATAATCCAGATAATAGGGCCTATACTTATCCATAGCCTAACTTTAAGTTTCTTACCTCATATATGTCTTACTTATCTTTAAAAAATGTGCTCGTAAATGGGAATAAGCATTTCAATATTTGATGAGGAGGGTTAACATTTGATAATTGATTTTTTTAACAGTTAGTAGTATTTTAAATTTTGCTGCCTTAAAAATTAAGACTCTTTTATACCTTTCTCCAGAAGTAGAGATTTTGAAGTATCACACATTTGTATAGTAAGTGTTTTTAAGTTAAAACTTAAGTATTGTTACTTTTTCTTAAGTGTTGGTACTTTTAATAAAAAGGTACATTTTTTAGTTTAACGACTGCCATGACGTTTAGAGAAGTGATTGCCGAGGTCTCTTGCTGTCCAGTCTCACAGAAGATTTTCAGAGTTGAAGAGCTCTGTGTGATCCTAGTCAGCGTTAGTTAGATTTTTAAAATATGAAACTAAATTGGGACAACGGTGTCTCGGCCGAGTATTTGCACAGTGCTTGGTGCACTGTGGCAGCAGGCCCCTGGAGTTCTGTCTGTGGGCAGCCTGAGCTGTCCTGGGACTGAAGTGTCCGGTGAGGGTGTTGCTCTTTGCCAGTATTTCATCTCAGGTCTTGACCCTGACTCTCAAGGTACCAAGTTGAGTCCACTGAGAAGTTCTATTGAGAGCACTTCTCAGAACATTGTTTCCATATGTATGCTCCATTCTCACTCCGGGGGCATCTTGCCAACTCCATTCACACGTGGCAGTGAGGTCCCAACGTGGTACATGCGTCACATTTGGGGAGTGGCTGATCACTGTTAGCTCACACCAGTTGTTTCAAACGTGGAGTCTGGGCCCCAGGAATTCACAAAGGAAGACTTGGCTGCGTGAACCAAGCAGTAGAACTTGCGTTTGCCTTTATTGTTGGGCTCTTAGCTAAGCCTTTGTTTTGTCTGTGTGTCATGTGTACGCCGGTGGATAGCATCATTTATAAATAATTGCACACACGTGTGTTGGGTATGTGTGCTCTCATTTTGTTTTGCTAACGGTGCTGTCTGATCAAGAAGGTTCAGACTAGATAAGGCTCTGAGGAGTGTCCAGTAAGGATTCTGTCCTGTGACCTTCCGGCTCCCCCATCAGTGAGTGTCATGATATGGAAGATTTGTGCATTTATGTGCTTTCTTATGAAAAGAGCCATGGTTTCCACTAGATTCTCAAAGACATCTTTGGCCCTGAAGGTCAAATATCTCTGGGCTGAAACCAATGAAGCTTGTTTGGAAGGACTCAGTCTTGTTTACAGATACCTTCTTAGGCTAAATTAAAGGGTATTCTATTTGAAAAATAAAATATATAATTAGACACGTATTCCTTTTAACAAGTAAAGTTTCACCAAGACTTCCGAGGAGCTCCAGCCACGGCCATTGCCATGGTCTTGCAGTGTGGGGCCGTGCAGCATCCCTGGCTGGACTCTGGGTCCCTGTTGCCTTTAGAAAGATTTTGTTGTTTGTATGTTTTCATTAATCTTCTAGCTCCTTAAAACATTATAGTAGATTATTGTCTCTCAAAGTCAAAGTCATTGGCGCTGGGTAGATGTGACTACAAAAGAGCTACTTTTGGAAACATCCTGTTTTCCTGCCTGTTTGGTATGAAGAGTTTTCTGCTGTCTCTATGGTTTGTTTTTGTAGAGTGCCCTGGGCGGGTGATGGGATTGCATGGGGGTGGGGATGAGAGTTAAGTCTGAAAGCTGGCTGACAAGGTGAAATGGAGGTTAGTCGAAGTCATTCTTGAAACCCTTAGAGCACTCATAAAATACAGGGTTGTGTTTTTAAAAAAATATATTTTATTGATTTTTTTACAGAAAGGAAGGGAGAGGGATAGAGAGTTAGAAGCATCGATGAGAGAGAAACATTGACCAGCTCCCTCCTGCACACTTCCTACTGGGGATGTGCCTGCAACCAAGGTACATGTCCTTGACTGGAATCAAACCTGGGACCTTTCAGTTCGCAGGCCGATGCTCTATCCACTGAGCCAAACCGATCAGGGCTAAAATAAAGGTTTTGATTTATAGTCCTTTGTGGTTAAATTTTTATATGACCCTCTGTAGCTCTTTAAGTTCTTCCTTGAGAGATGGCAACAGTATACCAATGGTCAGAAAATCTTACCATTCACACATCCTTTCCAGTAAGTATGGGCCAAGGCACATGCTCATTGAAGAGAAGGACTATTTAAATTATTGCTTTTATAAGCGTGTACAGGTGAGTTAAAGGGATTTCCTTGCAATATGACACAACTACGCTGCATTTCCAGCTGTGCCATTTTATTCGTCAAACCTGTAGCATCTGATTCCCATGAATGATTTTTTCCTGAAAAGGACTCACCTGTGTGTTTATTAATTTACTAGAGGCCCGGTGCACAAGATTCATGCACTCAGGAGGGTCCCTTAGCCCAGCCTGTGCCCTCTCACAGTCCGGGAGCCCGCAGGTGATGTCTGACTGATGGCTTAGGCCGCTCTCCCCCCCACCCCTTCCGGGGAGTGGTCAGACAGACATCCTTAGCAGTGCCTCAGAGGTGTGAGAGGCTCCCGCCACCGCTGCTGCGCTTGCCAGCCATGAGCTTGGCTTCTGGCTCAGCGGTGCTCCCCCTGTGGGAGCACACTGACCACCAGGGGGCAGCTCCTGTGTTGAGCATCTGCCCCCTGGTAGTCAGTGCGCGCCATAGCTACCGGTGGTTCCACTGTTCAATCAATTTGCATATTACCCTTTTATTATATATAGGATTATTATATAGGCTGTAGTAAGTATTGAGTGTATGCAAGGCTTTGCTCTGGCATTGGGACCACGGGAGTCAGAAAGATGAAGCCCCTGCTCTCAGGACTCATCCTGTGGGGAAAGGAGGCAGTAACACAGCCAGAGGAGGCAAAGCTGTTCCAGGTCACGTGTGTGATGCAGAAACAGAGTTTGAGTCGAGGGCGTGGAGAGGCAGGCGCCCTCTCCAAGGACGCGGACAGGCGGGGATGGGGAGGAGTGGGTTGTCAGGTGTCTTTTTCTATCAGACCCCTGTTTCCTGGGTCAGTGTTCACTCTCCCCCACATCAAAAAACGCAGCAGGGCAGTTCTGGTCAGTGTGAGCATGACCTCTATGTGACCTCTGTGTGAGTAGCACGTGGGGGAGCAGGCAGGGCGGTTGGGTCTGGTTCCACAAGGCATAGTCACTGACAGAAATGGGAAAGGCCAAGGAATTGATCTGATTTGCACTTTATTTTGTGATGTCTGTGAACACATCATACCTGATTTTAAGGGCTGTTTGTTTTTAACAGGAATCACTAGATTCGATCTTCTGGGAGACTTCGGAAGGTTTAACTGGCTGGGAAATTTCTATATTGTGTTATCCTACAATTTGCTTTTCGCTGTGGTGACAACACTGTGTCTGGTCAGAAAATTCACCTCTGCGGTCCGGGAAGAGCTCCTCAAGGCCCTAGGTAATCCGCCGGCGCTGCGTGGTTTCTCTCCGCCTACTAATTCGTAACTTCACATGAGAGCTAATTTTCAGTTTTCACTCACTCATTTCTCCGAATGTGTGAGCCCTTAGAGGTCACAGTCCTAACCCTGGTGTGAGTCCTCCCCACCAAGCGCGCCTTCCTCACCTGTCAGGCTCCTCCTGAGGACTTCGGGGCGCCGACAGACACACTTCTCAGGGGGCTGAGCCCCGCCCTGCGCAGTCCGAGCAGGAAGCGGCAGCTCTGTGTCTGTGACGGGTGCTGGGAGGGAGTGGGGAGGGCAGAAGGATATTTTTTGGGAAGAACACCTTCTGTTTCAGTGAAGGATTTTCATGAGCTTTGGGTTTTGCAAGTGTCAGGCAGACCCCCAGTTCTCTTCAGTGAGCTCCACACAGCTCAGGATAAAGCATAGTGTTCTCGCATTCCTAGGAGCGAAGCGTCCTCACCCCGTCTCCATGGCCACAGGACAGTGGGCGCGACTCCTCAGTGGGTGTAAATGTGCCCTCGGAGTGTGTTGGTCCGGCTTACGTCAGCAGTAATCCTAAGCACGTTCCAGCCTTTAGGTGTTGGGAGCCCCAGGTCAATAGAAAGGACCACGCATCAGCCCGCCAGGGTGTGGGCATGAACCTTCATAGCAAAGAGGGAAAGGCAGCAGTTGATGCTGACAGTCCTGACGTGAGCTCACCCCCTGCACTGGCCGCGCTGGGCACTTACACTCCACGCTCCACTGTGTTTCCCGCTCCTGGACAAGGCAGCCTGATGCTGGGCTCACTGAGGCCCTGCACTCAGGTAACGGAGCCTTGTGAGCGACAGCATTGGCTCACCAGGGCTTCCCAGCCCAGGGATTGCAAGGGTGACCTTTGGGCCTGGCCGGCATGCTCAGTGGTGGAACGTGAACCTAGGAACCAGGAGGTCAGGGTTTGATTCCCGTCAGGGCACATGCCTGGGTTGTGGGCTCAATCCCCAGTGTGGGGTGTGCAGGAGGCAGCTGATCAATGATTCTCTCTCATCATTGATGTTTCCATCTCTCTCTGTTCTTCTCTGAAATCACACACACACACATTTTTTAAATAAAGGGTGACCTTGGGGAAGGAGAAAAGATTTCGGATTGTTTGTGTTTGATTGCAAGGGTGACCTTTGGGCCTGGCCGGCATGCTCAGTGGTGGAACGTGAACCTAGGAACCAGGAGGTCAGGGTTTGATTCCCGTCAGGGCACATGCCTGGGTTGTGGGCTCAATCCCCAGTGTGGGGTGTGCAGGAGGCAGCTGATCAATGATTCTCTCTCATCATTGATGTTTCCATCTCTCTCTGTTCTTCTCTGAAATCACACACACACACATTTTTTAAATAAAGGGTGACCTTGGGGAAGGAGAAAAGATTTCGGATTGTTTGTGTTTTACTTTATACTAACCCTGTAAGGAGGTGGCTAATGAAATATTGGCCCAAAAGAGAAAAGTTACGCCTCACTTCAGCCGGCGCACCAGAAAGTGGGTGGGTCCCTGCCCAGGTGTGGGATTCTGGCTGTGGGGTCTGCACAGTGGCTGGGATCAGGCAGTTCTGGCAGGCAGTGTCCAGAGTTAAACCGCTCGCTCAGCTCCCGCGGGCACCTCTGCGATAGGGCGGCTGTACCCGCAGCGGGGCCGCTGTATGCAGGGTCCTGGATGCCCCGTCAGGGCATCTGCACACAGTGGACGCTCAGTTTAGCTATGGATGATGGTGCCCATGGCGGCTTCTGCACAAGACAGACACTGGTTCCTCCAAACCCCAGCCCGGGCAGCACCCATGTTTCAGAAGGAACCCCCCACCCAGGAGGGCTGTGTCCTGTGTTGGGTTCCATGGAAGTGGTGGCTCAGAGGCACAGGTTGCTGTGACTCACATAAATACTTTTTATTCTCTGAAATATTATCTTTGTTCAACTTGTTGCTTTGCCATTTCTTTCTTTTTCTTTTGGGAAATGTTTTCCATTGCCTTTCTTTTTAAATACGTGCTTCATATTTTGCTGTGTCTGTCAATGCATTTTCCTGTGTTCTTCATATGTGTGTATTTTGAAACACAAATGGATGATGCTTGTTTGGGGTTGGGCTCCCTGGGAAGTGCCCTTGGGATAGGAACAGGCTTGCAGGAGGATCAGTGCTGAGGGTGGGTGAGTGGGGCGGGACCTCCAGGGGGCGCTATGTGTGCCACGGGGCTGGCCCGGGCCCGGGTGGAAGAGAGACCCCTTGGAGGTGTCCCCAGCACCGCCACCCCCACCCGCCTGGGGCAGAGCCTCCTCTCACCATTTCCTCCTCCCTGCAGGACTCCATAAGCTGCACTTATCCAGGGCTCCCCGCGAGTCGGACACCGCCAAGCCGTCTGCCAATGGGCACCAGAAAGTCCTGTGAGGCCGCTCCGCTTCAGCGCATATGCGGGAGGACTCGGACATTCCTGGTCCCAGGCGTGGCGGCCCCGCTCACTTTCTAATTGTCCTCTGGGAACCTGCGGGGCGTGGGTTCCAGCCCCACACCCACGTCTGCTCTGTCGGGACGGCCACCAGAAGGCAGCCGGGAAGCTAGGGCTTCCGAGGACTTGCTCCAGCCCAGGACCTGCACATGTGGAGGCTGCTGGCGGCACCTGTTGCTGGGACAGGAGGTGACCGAGGGCGTGGGGCGAGGCCCAGGGCGTGCACAAGGTGCGGGAATGTCTGTGCCTGGGACGTGGGAGCTGGCGTGGCGCCTGACATTTCCCACGTCCTTGATGCAGGAACAAAGCCCAGTGCAGAGTTAGTTACAGATGTGAGTCCAGGGGACACAGGGGACTCTTACCCCCACGCTTGGGCAGCCCTGCGTCACCAAGGTGGGAGGGAGGGGCCAGCCGGTTCCAAGTTCATGGCCAGTCAGTGTCACCTCTCCTGGCACAGCTGCCAGTGTGAGACCCTGGGACCAGCGCCCGCCTTACAGGCTGTGTGACACCATTTTTTAAGCCCTTTTTTCTAAACTCCCTTAACTCCTCATGCTCCTCCGTCCATCCTAAACTAAGCCCTCTGGGTAGAAGCCCCTTTCTTTTGCCGCTGCTTCAGGCTTCGCTACTTTTGCCATTTAAACCTCAGACCCGGAAAAGCAACCAGTTTAGCACCAAACGCACAGCATTTGGTTCTGGCATAAGAAGAGTTTGGCCGACTATCGTGATCTGCTAGCCACTCAGTTGTTAAGCTGTAAATAATTCTCGGGGTCGTGTCGTGGCCCCACGTCCACTGAATAAAGTTGTCCCCCAGGAGACCGAGTTCTGTCGGTCGAGCGTGCAGGATCCGAGGGCCCCCGCACAGCCCCACACCCGGTCTCTACGTGTCTCTACATACACACGTATGTTCACATGTCTGTAAATACGTACATATATTCATATGCACTGTGTGTGTGCAATGAACCATCTATGCAGGCAACAGTAAAATAACTTTTTTCTCAAATTGTTGCATTTAAAGCTTTTTTCGGGGGGGAGCAATTATGAAAACCAGGCTGTGTATATTGGACATCAAAACATTTCCACTTGGAGTCAAAATATTAAGAAAAATGAATGGGTATGTTTGTAAGCTCCACTGACTGCCTGTCTTCCGTGTACACCCTCACTTCCTTCGGAGCCACGTGGAAATGCAGGCCGCTTAAAAGATAGTTGAGGATTGCGAATGGCACTCGGCAAGCCTCGTGCTCGTGCTGGTGACGGCCAGCATGGGACGCGCCCGAGGAGGCGCACGCAGGCGTGCTTTCTCGTTCCTGCACTGCCCGTGTGGGCATCAGCTGCCAGCTGTGGCTTTCGCGGGAACTCTGGGAGTCGCCCTGGGACAGACGGCCACGGGAGCAGACGCGTCTTTCAATAGAGTGGCGCTGCCCAGTCAGCCCAGTTCAGGCACGTCCCGGGAAGAGTTCTGGGCACGAGCGCGACGTCCGACAGCGTCTGGGGCACACAGTCACCTTTTCTGTGTGTGTCAGTCTGTTCACTGACCGCTTCTCTCTGAGGACTGAGCCACCTGGCCGGGCCTCCCGGGGAGGCCTGCTACAGACACCCACACACAGGGCCCTGCCCGGTCGTGGCCTGCACGCAGGGCCAGGGTCTGCAGGCACCTGTCAGTGAGGGCTGGTGAAGGCCAGCAGCCATCGCCAAAGTGGCGCTGCCCCTCGTGACCACAGGCCTCCCCCTTCCCATCTCCCGCGTCTTTTTTGATGGCGTTAGGCCTGGGGGTACAGGTTTCTTGAGGAGTCTCAGCTAACTCCTGTCATTAATTGGTTCTGCATATTTAAATAAAATATTTTAAAATTATAAAATTTACAGATGATAATTTTTGTAATGATTTTCCAACCTATTTCTTAGATTTAATGTTTTCTTAGCTTTATGAACATTCTCTCTAAGCTAGATCTGTTCTAAGTAAACACAAACACATTCACATTAGCGCTCAGTGCACAGTGGTGGTGGGTGGGAGGGAACTTTCCCGTGGTCCTGACTCCCAGGTGCGTTAAAGGTGTGTGCACACCTGGTCTTTGGGGCACCCGCACCTGCCTGACTTTGCTGGACCACAGTGGTCTCCTATGGCCTCGGTCACCCTGAATCTGTCCACAGCACAGGTTGGAAGCCTTGTTGCTTTCTGGTCGTTTACATAGTATTTAATGAATAAAGACAATTCTTACAGTAATTTAAAAAAATATATGGGCGTATATACAGTACCTACTTTTTAAATTTTAAAAAATCTTTTTAAACTTTAAAAAATCTGGTCTGATGTTACTTTAAAAATAATGTTTGGAGGCACTGGTAAATTTGTTTACAGGGCATTGTTTTTTTGTTATGTTTGTTTTTTACAAATTGTTACTCCTGTTTGTATGAGATATTGTCAGTGTGACCATTTAAATGTCTTAGAAATTAAAGTTTTACAAAAATGAGTGCTTATAAGCACTGAAATGTGTTTTTCTAAAAAATCGGAAATACCATGTCTAAAACTTCAGGGTATGTATAGGTACTTCCATTTCCTTGTATAAAGAGGGGTAATTCTGGTGAGACACTGAATGGAGGCAGAAGCCACTATTTTCTCTCTTTATGGTGGAGTTACTGGTAGACCAGTTTCTTGCACTCTGAGATGGAGCCTCGATCGCGGAAATGATGTGTTATCCTAACTGAGTACCTAGATTTGTGTGCTTCCCCTGGTCTCTCCCACAGAAGGCTCGGCCGCAGTGAGTGTGGTCCAGGCAGCGCAGCGAGCGCTCGGGACAGGACGGACGTTAGCCGCTGGTGCAGGCACCGACAGGCAGTGCTTTACGCTTTCTGACCACAGAAGAGACACACTGTGCATGTGAGTCAGCACGCGCAGCCACACGCACACACTTCTGTCCATATAAACAAACATTTAACCCGGAGGGCCTCCTTTCACGTGTGTGATGTAGGCTGGCATTTTCTATTCTATTTTGTTATTTTTTTTAACATAAACCACTAAGTCATTTCCTGACCTGTATTAATGCATGGTAAACTTTAGTTTGAAAAACACCATGTTGAGGGCTGTGAAAATTGTTCATCAGGTGAAATGTGTTATTCCAGATACCTGAGGCAGAAGTCCTAGGCATGCAGAGTCCTTGTTGCCTGCAAAAGTGTAATTAAAATCAGTCGAAATCACTGA